CCAAAATCCCTTGGTCTTTGAAACTATGTGGGGGGCAGGGGGGCCCTCTGGGATTCCCTTTCCCCTTTTTTTAAAAAAAAAAATTTTTTTTTTTAAATTTCAGAGAGGAAGGGAGAGGGAGAGAGAGACATGACCTCCTGGTTCATGGGTCAACATTCAACCACTGAGCCACACCTGCTGGGCCACCTACTAGTCTCTTAAAAACTCCTATTTCTCTTGGCAGTAATAGCCAACATTTCTCTAGGAGGCAGCATAATGTAGTAAGAGTAACCTTGTGCAAATTCCTTAATCTCTATGTGTCTCCAGTTTCCTAATCTAGAAACAAGGACAATAGTTGTTCCTATAGAATAGGATTATTTTGAAGATCACGTGAGTTCATGAGCATAGCCAGTAAATTCTGTGTCAGTGGTGGTGTTGTCGTTTCTATTTTTGAGCACTTGCTGTAAGGTAATCAGTACTTACCTCACAGAGTTGTTGTAAAGGTTAGAATTGAGTTAATCTGTGTAACATATTAATCAGATTGTGACCTCCTGGTTCATAGGTTGACACTCAACCACTGAGCCACGCTGCCATGCGGGCAGGGACTGATTAACATTTTAACTGGCCAGTGGTGCTCAGTTGGTTGGGCATCGTCTTGTGCACCCAAAGGTTGTTGGCTCTATTCCAGGTCAGAGCACATGCCCAGGTTGTGGGCTCCATCCCCAGTAGGGGGTGTCCAGGAGGCAGCCAATTGATGTTTTTCTCTCTCTCTCCCTTCCTCTCTCTCTAAAAGTCACTAAAAAATATTTAATTAAAAATAAGATCAATCTGGCTGCTCTCTTGAGAACAGAGGGGAGGATGGGTAAAGGATGAAGCAAAGAGGAGGCCTTTATAATAACTCAGACCGGAGGTAATGGTGGTTTATACCTCCATGAGTGTTAAGGGTAGATGTGATAAGATATATTTTGAAGGTAGAATCATCAGGATTTGCTATGAATCGGATGTGGGATGAGAGAGAGAAGGGAGCTGAGAATGACTGAAAGGGTTTTGTGAGTGGGCTGGAAACATGGTCACCAATTATGCCACGGAGATTGTCTTCCGGCAAAGCCTAATTCTCCTGCCTTCCCTCTGCCCCCCAAGGAGAGAAGATGGGGCTCTCAATCTTTGCCCTGCTGACTCTTACTGTGTTCCTGCTGCTGCTGGCAGACAAAGTGCCTGAGACCTCCCTGGCCGTCCCCATCATCATTAAGTACCTCATGTTTACCATGGTCCTCGTCACCTTCTCAGTCATCCTTAGCGTTGTTGTCCTCAACCTGCACCATCGCTCACCTCACACCCACCAAATGCCCCTTTGGGTCCGTCAGGTAAGAGAATCTCCTCCTCTAGCTTGTATTAACTCTGAATCTTAGTATTTGGCTTTTTGTCCAGGTCTGACTTCTCCCTCCTACCACTTCAACCTTCCCTTTCACAGACCTGAGGGAGAACTACAACTCTTCATGGACTGTTGAAGTGCCAAGGCCTGCTGGGTGTCCAAACGTTGCACAATTACATTTGCCCTCCCATCATTACCATTTCATAGATCCCACACTCTTGCCGTAGACCAGTTCCAGCATGTCATAATTTCAAGAGTTTCATCAAAAGGTTGATGAGACGTGGGGACTCAACAGGGTTGAGTCACACATGTAGTCACCTGTTGGGAATGGCTAAATGAATTTCCCCAAACCTGAATAGGAAACTGATTGTGGCTGCCAGACAGGTAAAGGGCATCTTCATCTACATGTTATTGCCTCCTACTGGCCAAACACCTGAACAAGCCGTAGGCTAATTCCCCCATTCTGACAATGGACTCTGTACCAAACCCTGACCCTTTGAAGTGTATATCTCTGTCTGGCCTCAGGACAAGTTATGTTAATAAGAAGCATGGGGTCCTGGGGACATGAGAGAACCTAAGGCCTTACCAGTGGTTCTCAACCTTCTGGCCCTTTAAATACAGTTCCAAAAACAATAAATAAATAAATACAATTCCTCATGTTGTGACCCAACCATAAAATGATTTTCATTGCTACTTCATAACTGTAATGTTGCTACTGTTACGAATCGTCATGTAAATATCTGAGATGCAGGATGGTCTTGGGCGATCCCTATGAAAGGGTCGTTCGAGCGCCAAAGGGGTCCCGACCCACAGGTTGAGAACCGCTGCCTTAGACTTAAGATCTTAGAACTTAGCTCCTTTAGCTAAGCTCCTCTGACCCCCAAAATGCCTTACAAAATTATATTTCGTCTCCGGACTCTTTAATAGTCTCTGGATTCCTATGTCACCTACGCACAGCCCCTTCTCCAGATTCCTGAACCCTTCTTGATGCTGGGACAAGAACCCCGGCACACTCTCATCATCAATACGGCCCATCCTGGGTCCCAGGGAAACATCCTCAGGGTTAGGCACTATCAGGGAGGAGCCTCATAACCTTCCTCTCCAGTCAGGATGGCTCCCGTCCACTTAAGCGTTCTGAAGGCTGCGTGGTTGCCTTTCCCTGCCTGTGGAGCTCTGGGAGACATATGGGGCATGTGGTGTGGGGGTGGCTGGCTGTTTCCCTTCTGGTCTAAAAGAATGAGAGCCCCCTCCAGCACGCCTCTTCTACTCTGCAGATCTTTATCCACAAGCTGCCTCTGTACCTGGGCCTGAAGAGGCCCAAGCCTGAGAGAGACCAGATGCCGGAGCCACCCGCTGCAGCCCTCAGGGAGTCTCCGGGGAGTGGCTGGGGTCGGGGAACAGATGAATACTTCATCCGGAAGCCACCGAACGATTTCCTCTTCCCCAAACCCAACAGGTAGAACCTCCTCAGAGAGGGAGAACTACAATTTCCAGAAGTCTGTGCGGAGGCAGGCGGTCTAAGCGCCCCAAAGATGCTGAGCATCATGGGAGTTGTAGTATCTGCTGCCCACTTTGCTGAAAGGGGGAGACTACGCCATAGAGACGGGAGGAATTACGGGAGGCTGGCGAAGTCACCGCCGCCGGCGGGGAGAGCCTGAAAGCGTGTGAAAAGGGGCAGGATGTTGGGGTGGGAGCTACAGCCCGAACTGCAGGCTGTGTCTTTGCACCCGGGACCTGACCAAACGGTCCCGCCTCTTCCAGGTTCCAGCCTGAATTGTCTGCCCTGGATCTACGGCGATTTATCGATGGTCCAAACCGGGCTGTGGGCCTGCCCGCCGAGTTACGGGAGGTCGTGTCCTCCATCAGTTACATCGCTCGACAGCTGCAGGAACAAGAGGAACACGATGCGGTAAGTCCGGTGAGGGTGGAGCCGGGCACAGCCTTGGCTCCACCCACAGACTCAGGCTCCGCCTCTAATATTACGTTTCTATTTTTGATTGGAAGCGTCCTCGTTTGGTCCCGCCCCCTGTCTTCCGACTGGTTCTTTTTTCCTTTTTTTAAAAAAATCTGACTGGTTCTTTACCGTCACCCATCGTTGGTAGTTTCGCAGCCTGCCCTGATCTCAGAGCTGTTGCGGGAGGACCAGGACAGGGTCCAGGGACTTGGGGGGTGGCCTTCCCTGGGGTCTGGAGCTCAGGGACAGTTTTCTCTGCTTACCCCCAGTTGAAGGAAGACTGGCAATTTGTGGCCATAGTAGTGGACCGCCTCTTCCTGTGGACCTTCATCATCTTCACGAGTGTCGGGACCCTCGTCATCTTCCTGGACGCCACATACCACTTGCCCCCGCCCGACCCCTTTCCTTAGGACCTAGAGGCAAGACCTAAGTCCTCGGTCAGCTGAACTGAGAGCTTGGCCCTATCCCTTTCTGCCTCTTAACTCCTTCACTAGGGATCCAGTCGTGTCATTTTGTTCCAGGGAGAACCTAAGTGGGAGTGGGCATACGGAAGCCTTGGGCCCACCAGAAATGCACCATCAGTTTGTTTACTTTTTGGCTTCTTAAAGAAACTCTTTTGACTATCAACACTCAGGTTCCCAGTAAAAAGGAACAAAGAGCAAGAATGAGACTGTAAGCCTTATGAGTGCAGGGACTGTGTCTTGTACCCCCAGCACCTAGCACATGTCCTGCTTAATATTTGTTGAATTAATAGGGAACTTTTTTTCTGGAAGGAAATACACCAATTAATAGCACTTATGTTTGCACGTTGGGACTAGTGGTCATTTTTGTTTTTACCGTTCTGTAACGTAATATGTTTTGAAATAAGTGTTATCTTTAAGATAAGTATTTCTAAAAGGGTGTATTTGTAAAAAGGAGAAAAATCGCACTTAAAAAATCTTCAAGTTCCAGCTTTGGTGCTTAAACTTTGGACAAGCTACTAAACTGCGCTAAGTTTCTAAATCGTACAGTGGAGCTAATAATAGTATCTGCCCCTTACTCTAAGGGTCATATGAGAAGACTAGAGGCCCAATACACGAAATTCGTGCAAGAGTAGGCCTTCCTTTCCCTGCTGCCGGCACTGGCTTCCCTCTGGCACCCGGGACCCAGTCTTCCCTCACAGCCCAGGCTTCATCCAGAAGGTCATCCTGAAGGACATCCGTTCTAATTAGCATATTACAATTTTATAATTATAGATGGGAACAAAAACACTGTGTAGTATGTATCAGAGGTTGTAAACTTGTGTTTTGTTTGGCCCATGGCATTGGCCTGAATAATTTTTTTTTTTTAATCCTCACCTGAGGATATTTTTTCCATTGATTTTTAGAGAGGGTGGAAGAGAGAGGGAATGACAGGCAGAAATGTTGATGTTAGAGAAACACATCGATTGGTTGCCTCCTGCACAAGCCCCAACCAAGGCCGGGAGGGAGCCTGGGAGGAGTGGGGGGAAGCCTGCAGCCAAGGTACGTGCCCTTGACTGGAACTGAATCCGGGACGCTTTGGTCCACAGGCCGACGCTCTATCCACTGAGTCTAATCGGCTAGGGCTTGACCTGAATAATGCTAAATTTAAATTAGTTAGCTGATTTTAAAATTTGGGTATTTCACAGAGAAATTTGGATTTCTGGCTCCTCTTGAAAAAATTTTAAAAACCTACAGTAACACCAGGCCTGATTCCCCTGTTGGCAGCAACCTGCAAGAGCTCATTAGTGGCTGCCCGCTCTGATCAATTCCTCAAAGCCCCCACCCACCTGACCAGCTTCACTCATTCTACTTACCCATCCCTCCGTAACACTAGACAAAATACAGGGGAGGGCATGGGGGACAGGAGTTGAAGCCAATGGGAGGAAAAAAAGAAAGGTGGTTGTGTCTCTTACGGCCCTCCCATATTTTGTGCCTGTTTCCTTTCAATTTGGAGAAAGGGTTACACCGGCTTTAAGGCATGCCTTTCTGGGACAGGAGGATCTTGTGCCCAGAAGGCTGTGTGAACTGAACGGAGTTTAATGTTTCTGCCTGGAGGTCAGACCAAAGTCAGCTGGAGCCTAGGAGGCTGCTGCAATTACAATGAAGTACCTCACACCAACTCAATTGCCGGAGGTTGTTGTCCTAAAAGGGAGAATAGGCCTAAACTCCCAAGGATCCCTGTGGGACAAGGTCAGCATGTCCCTCTCCAGCCAGACCACCGACCACACAAATAATTGCACCTGGTATCCCACTGCGGAGCACAGTTTGTTTGTCTTGTTGGTTTATTGGCCTAGAGAGTTGGACACACACACAAATGCGGAGATAAATATTGGTCAATTTCTCTAAATCTGGGTCCTCACTACATATAGAACTAGAGTCTGTAGAATTCTAAATCTCGCGTGCTGTGGCACAGAACCAGTGGCCTTCCTACCCCACCATCACCCTTCTTCCCAGGGAACATGAGGAAAGGGCCCAAACTGACAAGACGATACTTTTCAAAAGATGAAATTGCAAAACCCCCAATTTCCAACATCTGAAATTCACAATATTCAAGTTCCCCATGTTCTTTTAATCGCCATTTTGCCACAATCTCATTTGTTGCCCAGAACCACCAAATTCCGGAAACTTTCCCCTAAATCATATTTTCAAAAAAATAAATGTCTACAATCCCAGTTCTCCCAAAATGGTTTTAGAATTGTGACCTGCAGAAATGACCATTCCCTGGTCCATCCTCCACCCCTTCCATCTCCTGTGCCTTTCTGCCTC